GAAGGTTTTATTTAGGGATAATCTAAACCAAATTTTGAAGGCTACCTGGAGGCGCCTGTATTGCCCTGTAAGTGCCACAGAGGGGCAGTCTCTGCTGACACAAACATAGAGCTAAGTTGGGATTTCCTGATGTGTGTGTGCTCTCTCTGAAAGGTAGGTAGTGCATGAGGCAGGCTTCTTACAGTGTCCTTTAAGAGCAATAAGCTCATTATATTAATTACAGCCTTGTAAGACTTTGTTTTCTGGTATGGGACAAACTCATACACTTTAATCTTCTGGCCTCAACATAAACCTGACACCTTCACTTGTACCTAAACTGCTTGTTTGGAGTCAGTATTGGTCTAAACACATACCGTCTTTAATCTTTTCTAAATAGCTTTGAACTACACATAGCAGTCAACTCACCTAACCTTTATTTGATCCCTTCTGATCAAATAGACAAAACCCACAATCTGTCTTTGTTTCTAGTCCCGTTTTTTTGCCTCACCCTCTAAATCCACCTTTGCTTTCCTGTATTTATTGCAAGGCCACACTTGTGGCTTTGAAGGTCTTTAGTTGAACCCATGTTCCAAAGAGACAGGCAGGAGTGACAATGAACCGGGGACAAAGACCGGAGAACAACTCCATTAGCTTGAAGCTCCAGGAAGCTTTTCACTTTGTTACAGTACATTATGTACCACACTTTGGCATACACTATTGTGAGTACATTAACTTTGTTGTTCAGGCGTGGTTCAAATGGCAAACACAGAGGTCAGAGGGTCAGCGTGGAGCCTGACGCTGCTAACAAAACAACCTAACAGAAAATCGAATGAAAGGAAGATTCATAACAGTCCACTCCAGGGTCGAAAGGTGAGAGAATCCTGATATTTTTCCAAATAAAAGAAATACTTTTGAACTCTTTATTTTCTTGCTTCATAACAACTGTAATGGGGTGGATTTAGAATAGAATAATCCTTTCATTGTCCCACATGGGGAAAGTTGGTAGTTTATTTTTAACTGATGGCATGATGATGCTTAAATTTAGGGGTGTAACCACGCTGACCGTCCCAGCACACAGAGGCATGGCTGAGTGCTGCAAACCTTCACCTTGTTTTTGTTTTAGGAACCTGTTTATTCTGTTTTATTTGAGTGTAAACTTGGTGTGGAAATTAAACTTGGTGGATTACTTGCTGTGCAGTCCTTTGATTGGCTGCTGTGTTTAAATGCGCTGCATAAATTAACAGATTTGGCTGAATTTGTGAATGATGTAGACTCATTCAAAAGGTGGTTGTTTTGCATAAGCTTCACTGTGTGGTCAGAGTCCACCAATGTATCGCTGTATAAGTTGTAAAAAAAAATGTAAAAAAAAATGTAAAAAAAAAAAAAAAATGTAAAAAATTTTAAATTAAAAAAAATAAAATAAAAATAAATAAATATATATATTTTTATTTTAAAAATAAATAAATATATATATTTTTTTATTTAAAAAGGAAAGAGCTTTTCCCCAGATAAGTGTCAGATCGGCACCATCCAAAGATATTTTAGCCAGAGCCAAAGGAAAATCCTGATAAAATCCCCTCACTCAAACCTCTAACACAAAGACACTAATGATGAGTAACTACAGGAACACACCAGGCGAGGCTGTGCATGTTAAAGCTCTGGGCTTTTTCCTTGCACTTGAATCAGTTCTCGAGATTCTACCACCATGTTTTACTTCAGCTGTCCAATACATGAGGCTTTGTTAATTCATCTCAGACACGTTGAGTGTAGAAAATAAAGCTGCTCACCGCTGCATTAACAGGCCGATACTCATGTTTAAACCCTCAGGAGGTGACTAATGGTGCATTTTGCAGGTGTGTGATTTTGTCTCATAAATGCAGCAAAATCATCCATTGTTCTCTTCCTGTTGTCGTGCTACTGAATTGTGACTTTTCAGAAAAACATACATAAACACAGGAGTCATCAAGTGGCCTCGTTTAAAGTGTATTTTATAAATTTACATATTCAGCTTTTTTTTTTTTAATAACATACAATAGAAACAGTGCTGATTGAAGTCGACTTTGGAGAAATATCTGGCATAAATAAAGTCCAGTATTGAGTCCAGTACAGAAACAGTAATTCAGAATACAAATCTTTGTCACTTAAGGGATAAAAAATATTTGGATATAAAAATATTTCTACACACAAATACCAACTGCAGTTGTCCAGCAACTGCAGAACAATAAAGAAGAACAATCATACACTTTACAAAAGCTCATTTCTCTTTTTAAATTAATGCTTAGAGTGGAGTTTTAATCTGGGATGAATGCTGTCAGTGGCAAACAGTATAATCAATTCCTTTTAAAGGCACCGAGGGAGCAGTAGTTAAGGCAAAAGTTAGTCATTTATCTGAGGATGGTATACGTGTCCATCATGGCCAAACATTTCATTTCCACCCACGTAACACATGCTGAACTCCTTTATAACCAAAGCAGATACAGGCTGCTGAATTTCCCCTTCTTTGTCTTTTTCCAAAGTGCAACCTAATTAAAAAAAAATCATTTGCTAATCAAAGACATCCTTATTTCATATGTGCATCAACTTGCCAACGTGCACCTTCAACCGTCTCCTTTCTCCTGACTTCAAACCTCTCCACAAAACATCAACAAGCACCAGAGGCGGAGCTTGTCTCCCTCTGCTATTCAACCTGAGGACAGTTTCCATTTTGCACGACGCCGGGGACGCAGAGGTTCAGGTTGTGCACCCTCCTGTAGACGAAGTGGAAGACCTGAGCGCGCGGCCGGCTGTGGAGCTCGGCTTTGATTCGCTGAGGGTGCGTGTCTGGGGTGAGCTGCTGGCTGGTTTCCTCGTTGACCAGAAACAGAGCGCAGTTCTCAGGGTCGGAGATCCTGAACTTCTGGGCGCACAGCGAGCAGACCTCTTCTGTGGTGGTGTACGGGTGGACGACCAGCGTTTTGGCCGTGCAGCCCACCCCCGGCTCTTGCAGCGCGACCCGGAGATAGTTCTAGAGAGAAAAGAGTTCAATTTTAGAAAACTGTAAAAGGAACGAAAGGGGCATTTCTGAGGAGGTGAGCAGGCAGGAAACCCTCATGCAGTGACAAAGAGTTTACATGCAGTGATGTTATCAGGAGCAACATGCTGTGATTAGTACAGACGACACGCAGCACCTTCCATGCCTCTGTCCAAAGCTGGATTTACTCTTACTGGTACAAGTTTGACTCACTGCCTGGATGGTCAAGGTCGGCTCAGGTCAGGTGATACCTGAAAGTCGTCCACACACGGTACTGAACGCTGGGCGGTCCGCCGGCGGTGCCACTGGTGCAGCGTGTTCCTGGCCTCGGAGCTCAGCACTCGGGCCGCCTGCTCCTCCTGGAAGTTTTTGATGAGGGACATGGCTCCGTAGGCGCTGGTCAGGTAGTAACCGCCTGGGGTAAAAATTAAACACAAAAAGAAATGAAACCAACCGAAGTTAAAAAATAATTAAGAAAAATAAAGACAGTTGCGCCTTTCTGGCAGAAATAAATCAGATTTGATGCTTAAGGGTCAAAGATATTTACCTACACAGCCGATTATTAAACATTTTCAGTTTCCGTGCCAGACAGCTTGGCGCTGATGGGAAAATATTTCACCCTTGGTAGGTTAAACCTTCTTATTTTTTCCTCTTGAAGTGGTTCCAGCCCATTAAAAATCAAAACACTGACTGGAATTTCCTTGCTGTGAGGACTTTTCCTTCCTATGCAAGCATTTATCACGTTTTCTCAAAGAACCTTCAATAAAAACTGGAGCTGAGAGTCACTGTAAAACACCTCAGCGATATGCTCGATACTGGACCGTACACCTTCTGCTGAAGGCAAAACAAAGCTTTCAAAAGAAGAAACAAATACGTTAAATGACTTTAGACAGAAACTGTTGGGACACTTTGCAGTTCACTCTTTATTTATTTTAGTATTTATTATCATCATCCTGCGAGTGAACTTTGTGTCTTTAGTTTCCACTAAATACCAAGACTCATAATAAAGACATTAATGCTAAAATAAGGAAAACCTCACATTTGTTTTTTTTTAAATCAAACTTTAAAAGGAACTACTTCTGTAGATTTTTGGCCACCAGGGGGCAGCACAGCAGGCCGAGTCAACAACAGGTGAGCAGAGTGCTGTACAGCTAAAAGAACCAATTAAAATAAATTAAAGTCATTAAAAACAAAACATCTGTAACCAACTCATCAAGTAGTGATGATTTTGGTAATGATTAAACCTCTGCCCTCATAGACACACGTGTCCCGCATCATTTCCAACCAGCAGCAACGTGTAGATATTCACGGCTCTTTCACTCCCGCGAACAGTAACTAACACTAGTGTTACACAACAGACCGTGACATGGTTTTAGTTATAAAACATAAGTCATTTGTTTCTCTTTCACGGGTCCGAAGGGTTAATGACTCATTGTTAGCAGAAGGTGTGTTGCTCTATAATTCACCAGCTTTTAAAACATCGCTCTTGGCCAGAGATGGAGATGAAAATATTTCAGTGAATCTTTAAATTCTTTAGTTTCTCAGCTTAGCGTCATGGTTGTACAGTACAGCTGTTACCAGCTGAATGTGGGAGTGTTTTTATTTTTTTTATTTAAAAAGGAAAGAGCTTTTCCCCAGATAAGTGTCAGATCGGCACCATCCAAAGATATTTTAGCCAGAGCCAAAGGAAAATCCTGATAAAATCCCCTCACTCAAACCTCTAACACAAAGACACTAATGATGAGTAACTACAGGAACACACCAGGCGAGGCTGTGCATGTTAAAGCTCTGGGCTTTTTCCTTGCACTTGAATCAGTTCTTGAGATTCTACCAGACGCACTGCAGCATCTTTCAGAAGCTTCCTAAACATTCATCAAGAAAGCGTCACTAAAAATGCCGCCAGACGGATTTTTGTTTAAATTAAACAGGAGGCACGTGAAGCTGCACAGAACAGGCGACC